ACTTATTATGCACAGCAAATTCAAGTGCGTCGGTGGCATAGCGGTTAAGACACTCGACGACCATGCACATGGTCCGTGGTTCAATCCCCGGCCGACGCACTCCTTTACCTCGCTAAGCCAGAAATAATGCTGGTAAAGAGGAAAGGTTTGGCCTGAGGCTAGCAACCCCATCCTGTAAAAATAAACACTGCTACCGAAACTTCACGCCACTAGCTTGAGGCCCTATGTTCCACTGTAAACGTGAATGAAGAAAAAAAACAGCAACTTCAAGTTTAAACAGAAATAAATGAGCGGATGCAGTGACAAAAGAAAAATGTAGTAAAGACAACAGGTGAATAAGGTGGTGAGTAACTAATGAGTTGAGTAACAGTATGGTGAGTTCAACTCAAATTATAAAAATAAGAGACAAGCGAAATTACATTATAGCGATTGGGGGAATAGATCAAAGTTAAAGACTGTGTGTATAAGCTATCTAATTGTAATTTTTGAGCACTGCTTATTAAAAGTTTGAAGTCGCCTGTCAACTGACATCGTAAAACATTGTTAAATGTGTAAAAAGCGAAGCAGTAACTCGTTGAAGAAGACATTACGAAGTCGTCGCGCTATGTCATGAATCGGCAGAAGTTGGAATTCATGTGCTGGTCATTGGATCGGGTTTAATGGTCTACGAGCTTCCCTTATAACCAGGAGGTCCTGGGTCCGAACCCCGGTGGATGCGCACTGATGAAGAGTTCCAAACTAGGACGAAACTCCTGGCTGTCCAGTACTCCCTGCAGGTTCTCTAAGTGATGTCAGCTCATGATGAAATCCTCCCTCCAAAAAATCTAATACTTGAAAAAGTGTTTTGTACACAAACTTATCAATATCTTTAGGCTGCATGCATACGATGAGAAGCCAGTGAGACAATCGATAATGCCATCTTATTCTGCGCTGACTGTCGTTTATACTTTATTAGAATGTTTTGTTGTATTACGTCAACACCAACTCTTTCAACTTAATTTTAGCCAGTACACTATTTTACTTAAAATAATGTGAGAAATTCAAAGTAGGCGGAAATAGAATAGGAAATTAATTCACTTTACAGCTTATAATTGTCCAGGTAATTAGTTTTCGGGAGGAAACTGTAAAAGTATGGTGAAGCTATGGCTTATTGGTCTAGATGCTCAGTTTCTAGCCACCGGGGTTCAGGTGGATAGATAGTAGTGTGGTGAGAGCTGGCTGTTAGTCAAAATTGGTGGACAGTAATTTACGTCAGTGTTTATGTCCCCAATATTGGTCGTGAGAAAAATGAGAATAAAGGCTTTGCATAGGCGGATACAGTTAACATATAGATGATCTGTTGCCTGGTCCTTGTCTTCTGTTGTTACAGTAGTAAAAGCCGCCAGGCAATAATTGTCTCATGATTGCCACTTCATGAAAATGTAAGTCATAGTTGATTAACATTATCGCATGTATATGTATATATATGCACTAACTCAGTCTCAAAAGTTTAAAAGTGAATGTGATGTTAATATATGTGTAAAGCTTGGGCACTGTGGTAGTAAGTAATTGCATATTAGTTTGTTTATTAGATGTATCACACAGTGAAACAGAATGATGTTAATACATGACGATATTTATACCGATGTTGTATACCAATCCAAACCACAGCAGTGAAGCATTCCAAAACATCAGTTAAAAATAACTTTAAACCAGAAAGCATTGAATAGATGTTTCGCTCGAGTATGAGACTCTTCAGAAGTACGCATCCATGATCTCACAAGAAATAGAACCCGGCACTTTCAGGTTATGAAATTAAGCTCGTTTACCATTCAGTCAACTGGGCCGTAATTCAGTGACCCGTGAATTCTATCTTTGTCAATTCGTGGCATAGCGGCACTCTCAACTAATGTCTTCTACGGGCATTCTTAAAGTGATAGAACTTTGAAATAATAGAAAAGATCTGTAACTCAGGTGGATGATTTGGAATTGATAGTGTTCTCTGAGCTCCTTGGTTTAATTGCGGAGCTTTCATCGTCTTTCTGGACGACATCTTCAGCGCAGTATTTAGGATAAAGTGAAATGATTTAAATTTCTTCATGAGTCTCCCGGTAACCATCTTTAGATATTTATTGACCGTTTTCTATTGATTGGGATTTTAAACTTTCTGATCACCTGATTTACTTCTTATTAGTTGGTATATTTCATCTATATTAACGTGTTTATTAATTGCGTTTTCATATAAGTACCAGGCTTCTAGGAATTCTCTGGCACATTTGGTGTTTCCTCTGTTTAAGATTTTGACATTATCCCAATCAAATTGATGTCCATGATCGTCTGAATGTATTGATACTAAAGAATTTATATCATGTCTTTTCACGGCTGATTTGTGTTCCTGGATTCTTATTCGAAGGGGACGCCCACTTTGGCCGATGTAATGTTTGTTACAGTTCACACAATTTATTTTGTAAATAGTGTTAATTTTATCTCCCTTTTCTATCGGATCTTTTGGTTTGCATAAGATAGAATTAAGCGATTCAGCTGGTTTGTGTGCTACATCTATATCAAACGGTTTCATTATTCTAGCCGTTATTTCAGAGATGTTTCTGATATATGGTAGGATGAATTGCTTTTTGGTCTTTGGTGATGGTTCTTTGTTGGTGCTATCATTCGATTTTAAACACTTTTTGATGAAATTTTTTGGATAACCATTCTTCTTGAACACCGTTTGTAAGTATCTTTCTTCCATTCTTTTCAACTCTGGTGTGCTACAATGTGTTTGAATTCTTCTAAACAATGTCTGCATACAGTTTCTTTTGTGAGTAATTGGATTGTTGCTAGTATAGTTGATTATTTGTTCTGTGTGCGTTGACTTTCTGTATACTTGTGTTTCTAAATTTCCTGTGTTGGTTCTCCTGATTAAGACATCTAAAAATGGGATTTTGTTATCTAACTCTTCTTCTCTTGTGAATTTGATGTCTTCAAATATGTTGTTTATTAATTTATGGGTATATTCTAAATCATTTCTCTTAATTATTACAAAATCCCATTTTTAGATGTCTTAATCAGGAGAACCAACACAGGAAATTTAGAAACACAAGTATACAGAAAGTCAACGCACACAGATCAAATACTCAACTATACTAGCAACAATCCAATTACTCACAAAAGAAACTGTGTGCAGACATTGTTTAGAAGAATTCAAACACATTGTAGCCCACCAGAGTTGAAAAGAATGGAAGAAAGATACTTACAAACGGTGTTCAAGAAGAATGGTTATCCAAAAAATTTCATCAAAAAGTGTTTAAAATCGAATGAAAGCACCAACAAAGAACCATCACCAAAGACCAAAAAGCAATTCATCCTACCATATATCAGAAACATCTCTGAAATAACGGCTAGAATAATGAAACCGTTTGATATAGATGTAGCACACAAACCAGCTGAATCGCTTAATTCTATCTTATGCAAACCAAAAGATCCGATAGAAAAGGGAGATAAAATTAACACTATTTACAAAATAAATTGTGTGAACTGTAACAAACATTACATCGGCCAAAGTGGGCGTCCCCTTCGAATAAGAATCCAGGAACACAAATCAGCCGTGAAAAGACATGATATAAATTCTTTAGTATCAATACATTCAGACGATCATGGACATCAATTTGATTGGGATAATGTCAAAATCTTAAACAGAGGAAACACCAAATGTGCCAGAGAATTCCTAGAAGCCTGGTACTTATATGAAAACGCAATTAATAAACACGTTAATATAGATGAAATATACCAACTAATAAGAAGTAAATCAGGTGATCAGAAAGTTTAAAATCCCAATCAATAGAAAACGGTCAATAAATATCTAAAGATGGTTACCGGGAGACTCATGAAGAAATTTAAATCATTTCACTTTATCCTAAATACTGCGCTGAAGATGTCGTCCAGAAAGACGATGAAAGCTCCGCAATTAAACCAAGGAGCTCAGAGAACACTATCAATTCCAAGTGATAGAACTTACTAGTTATGACATTTCAGTGCAGCTTCAGGACATCCGCCCAGTGACCGTCAGTTGGCTGAAGATTGATATCCAGGTTATAGGATTTGTGAGGATATGGATTAATAATAAATATAATAAATATAATTTTTCCTTCACGTTCCCAGTGGAACATAGGGCTCCAAGCTAGTGGCTTGAAGTTTCTGTAGCAGTGTTTATTTTTTTTACAGGATGCGGTTGCTAGCCTCATGCCCAACCTTTCCTCTTTACCAGCAATATTTCTGGCTCAGTGAGGTAAAGGAGTGCGCCGGCCGGGGGTCGAACCCCGGACCATGTGCATGGTCGGCGAGCGTCCTAACCGCTATACCACCGACGCACTTATATGGATTAATTTCCATTGTTATATTTCGTCACAAACCAACATCTGGCATAAATCACTGAAAACCAGGTTGTTGGTCAAAGTCTAACCACTGAAATTAACCCAGATTCCCACAAATCCCAGAATCTGAATCTTATTACGAATAAAAAAATATTCTTCTGTATGTTCTACTTTTAAGGGTTTATGTCTTTCATCCCCCAATCACACTGACAAATTTTTAGTTGCCACAATGTGGCATAATTGTCGGCGACCATACCACGTCGAAAGCACCGGTTCTCGTCCGATCACCGAAGTTAAGCAACGTTGGCCCCAGTACTTGGATGGGTGACCGGCTGGGAATACCGGGTGTTGCCGGCTTTTTGTGTCGGTGGCACAGTGGTTAGGACTCTCGCCAACCATATAAATGGTCCGGGGTTCGATCCCCTGCCGACGAACACCTGATATCTATGGTCGGCCTGCAAAATTTAGGCTACCGATATCACATGCTAAAAATTTCATACCTGTACCAAAAATACGGTGTAGAGTCAAGCTGTAATAAAAAAATAATCTTATTTACGTAATGTGTGATAAGAATGGAAGTCAATTGATTTGATTCATCTTTTTTCAACCTTTTCTTGTTTTGTTTGTTTTTCTCTATTTATCGACCGCTAGCTAAAGATTTAATCAGGAGTTTGCTGCTCACAGAACCAGACTGCAGACCTACAATTAAAGAAGTAATGAATCATCATTGGGTAGCTCAGTATAACGCAGTTCCAAATACACCACTTGGAACAAATATGCTTTTTACTACAAAGGCATGGGATCAGTTTCGAGTATGTTTTACTGAGTTATTTTGCTGAAACAAACACTTCAATCTAGTAGTTTTTTTAAAATTATTTCTGCTTTTACTTTAATCCTTTGCGTTCACAGTAGAGCATAGGCGCTTCACGTATGAGGTTTAAATTTTCAGTAGCAGTAATCTTACTCCTTTTACCAGGGTGAGGTTGCTAGCCCCACTCTGAACCCTCCATTTTTAGCGGCTTTACTATCGGCTAAGCAATGTTATAGAGTGAGTCGGCTGAAGATCGAACCCCAGGATACGTCTTTGGTTAACAAACATTCTACCGCTGTAACACTGATGAACGCTTAAAATCATCTACTGGCTTAATACATCATCAGCAAAGTGAAGTTTAATGTTTAGTTTTTGATTTTTGCTAAATTTGATAATAATAGCTTTATCCTGAATTTAATTTATTGCATAGTAGTTCCGCTTCATTTACGATCTTCGCGTTGAATGGTAATTCAATTCTATTCTATCTATCACACAAACGAATCTCTAATTTTATTTTTTCTGGAGAAGTTAAACTGCAGCAGCCACCACGATCGATCCTGCCACTCATCCTGAGCAATAACTGAGGAGAAATAAAAGTCACAGAATTATTGAAAAGATGACTAAAAACCATGATGTTTAGTTTTCTGTTTGTATTTCTCACTTTACTTACTCTCTAATCCACTCCCTCCAGAGTCATAATCCTCCCACCAGGCTTCCTTCTGAGATACATGGTTTAGTTACTCCGATTAATCCACTATTCATACAGTAATCGAACACTGGATCTTCTTGCAACTTGTTAAGTAAATGCCTAACAGGAGGCATTATTTCATTTAGTTATCGAAGGTCATGTACATACAGCAGCTGACTACTATAGTTAAACATAGCCATCCTACCTTCTTTTCCGAGAAAAATACACAGCAGTAGATTGAAAGCCAATTTTAAAAAGATGTACGCGAGTGCATTTAATGACCTAAGGACAAAGCTGAATGTTTGAAACAATAAAAATGGGGAAAATTTGATGCTTTGCATAGGACAGAAGTTCAGTTAGCCCAGTGATTTTTAATCAGGCCTCCGAAATTGAGTGAAGCAGACAAAACACTTGAAATGGCATGACTAAAACAGACGAAAATGAGTAATCAAATCATATTGATTGTATGTGTTGTAAAATATAAAAAAAATAATTCAACAAGCAGTTAGTTCTTCACTCAGCACCTCACTGTTTGTAGTTTATGCGAAAAACTTCAAAATATTATCATGTCACGCAATTCTGTCATACAATATAAGTAATCCTGTCTGGTGATAGTTAAAACGAGGTATGAGTAATAACAGGCATTTTATTCCCTCTTAGATGAAACATATGTGATGGAGCATATATATAATATAGAAAAAATAACTAAATTATATCCCTCCGAAATTTATAAATTCATCGTCCTGACAATTACTGATAGTTTAACAGGCCTTTTTTGATATTAAACTTCTGAATTACTGACTTCATCTAAACAATGTCTAATTTATGAGTACTTTTGAAGGATGTCTATTTCGGTTCATCATATGGATATGGTTATGGTTTTTGTATTAAGTGAGTCATACCCAAATTTTGCAAAATTCACATATCAGAAAAAAAAGTCAATTGTTTTTATCCTATTCAAACTTGGACTTGGTGTACGAGTATATATATATATATATATATATATATATATATATATATATATCAAGTTACATTGAAAAGTGATTTCAGTTAGACAGACATTGAAAATGAAATACCAGATCTCTTCACTAGGGATACCCACTAGGGATCTCCCTCAGGACCTCCAGGTTAGAAGACCCGCCGACTAAGACAAAAGAGCTAAAGAGATGAGAGGTCTCGTGTGGTCTTCGCAGATCTCTCTTTTGTTCTTTTTCAATTCTCTCCAAGCCTACCGGTGAATCATGTCTGGCTGTGGCAAAGGTGGAAAGGGATTGGGTAGAGGAGGAGCCAAACGACATCGCAAGTTTCGCCGAGACAACATTCAAGGCATCACGAATCCCACTATCAGCTGTCTTGCTCGTCGTGGTGGTGTGAAACGCATCTCAGACTTGATCTACGAAGAGATTCATGGTGTCCTGAAGGCGTTTTTAGAGAATGTGATTCGTGACGCTGTGATATACACGGAGCATGCCAAGAGGAAGACAGTGACAGCTATGGGTGTTGTGTACGCTTTGAAATGCCAAGGTCATACTCTGTACAGTTTCGGTGGTTAGTTTTATCAGTGAGTGATTGAGTTGGAGGTGACCTGACCTAAATGTGGTCTGCATGAGAACGTATCGTGCACTCAGGTCTTTAATGATTCTCTTACTAAAGTCATTTTCTTTGTCCAAGTTTAAATCAATCAAACCTTTGCCAGCCATCACTTAAATATATGCATAACTCTTATTCATTACTTGCTTGTATTTGTCTGCTTTGCGCATCAGTATTTCGATGGTAGAATACTCGCCAACCACACAAGTTGTTTAGGGTTCGATTTCCTGGCCGTGGCACTCTGTAAACTCCCGCATTTAATAGTAAGCCGTCTATAAAAGAGAAAAACGTGGGAATGTGACTAGCAGCTTCACCCTCGTAAAAAGGAATAACACCTATGCTACTGGAACGTCAAAACTCATGTTTGAAGTCCTTTGTTCTACTGGGAACAAAAAGGAATAAAATTCAATAAGTATATTCCTCTCATATTTCTCTGCCATTTTTTCTTTCTCTCTATTTCTCATTTTCCTGTTCCTATTTTACTAGGAAATCTTCCGTGAAAGTCTTCAAACAAAACGTAAAGAACACTCCAGTGTCCCGACATTGATGACATTGGATGCCTCAAAAAATCCTTTATTAATTAAACGTAAATTAAATCAACAATCTAATCCTGATCAAGATGAGGATGTTTCATAATAAACAATAAAACAATTGCAAAACACCCACACGCACCCCCACACACACAGGCACACCCACTCACAAACAAAACTGAAGAGTTCAGCATACGCATATATATATATATTAGTGATATTATTAATTGTTGTTACATAACATTATTTCTTAAATAACTTCTACTCTTTTTTATGTTCACTGTACACATTTTTCTATGCATTCTCAAATAACATTAAGCTACGCATGTATAAATTTCATTACTACACTGGTATTATGCTTTGCTTTGTTGTTGGTTTTTCGTCTATTATTTTATTATTTTTCGCTTCATATCTTGTTGCACATGAGCTGAAATAGCTCGCTGTACACAAATAATATATATATATATAATATTGATAAAATATATTGCGCATAATTATTGTGTATGACTTTCTTTCTCATTGAATGCTTAATGCAGTCGGAGAATTCAATACCGAGTGTATGCAGGCTAATAATGTGCTGTGAAGTTTTTCAGACAATGAAGCGTGTAAACTTGACTTCAGCACATAATGAATACAAAGGATTGTAATCAGTAGATTAAGCGATTATGCGATAAGATTCCAACCCAGGGGAAGGCGATGTTTGTCACATTGTAACACTAATAATATTCATAAAAACCTTTGAAACGAATAAGTTAGCAAGATATTTATGAAATTTAATAAAATAGATACTGAAGGCTTAAAAAATTATCTCTTCTCTTTACGAAGTCTAATTATTTGGCTGGACACTAGGGAGTTACTAATGTCATTCCATCAATGTGAAGATGGCTAAGGGGTTAGCTGGCTGCTTGACTCGTCATAAAAGTACAGTTCGGATTTTTGTTAGATGGTTGGCAGCATCTGAAAGCATGAAGTCTTGAACTTAGGTTTCATGTTCATTAGAACTCGTCAGTAAGGCGCATCTTCAGTCTTGAAGGAACACATATCCCTTCTGAGACTCGAACCTGAGTCACCCAATGTCGCAGTCAGAGGTGTAGATTTCATTTAGTAGCTTCATGTTAACGTGTCTGACAGGTTGATTGAATCTTCAACATAAACATTATGCTGATGAGGGTTAATAGGCACTAAAAGCTAGGTTCAGGGCTTTTATGTTGTTCCCCTCCGACTATCTAATAGTGTTAAACATGATAATTTACCCCCACTTATCAGATTTCCGTTGTTTGGTTTTTTTGAGTGTAATACTGTTATGACACAGGTGTAAAAAGTATATATTTCTCTGACTAAAAGAAGCACTCAAACTGGAAGAATTTGTTCGGCGAAACTGTAATTCAGTAGGGCGAAGAGCTAATGCAGACTGGAACTTCCTCTCATTTACACAAGCTGGCATCAGTTAGAGAACCACTGAAAAACATGGGATCACTAGAAAGCTGTTTCAGCTTTCTAGTGTGGTTGTGTCCTCTGAGCTGGTTGGTGGGTGGAATTGATTGTTTCAGTTCCAATACAAGTAACCTAGAAGGTGTGAAAACACACAAAAACAAACAATCACGTCCAAGGTCACCGACTAGGAGAGATGATTAATAAACTCGTGGAGAAATCTAACAGCTCACTTCAGCAAATTGAAGTATGCGCTGAAGATGTCACTCATTAGGGTGATGAAAGCTTCGCAAATTGACCACCCAGCTCAGAGAACACAACCACACCAAAATTATCCACCTGAACTACAAATCTTCTCTATCATATGGTTCAGCTTTGTTTGACACTCTACAGTACTACACATCCACTGGGGTTCGGATTTAGGACTTTCCGATTACAAGGTGATCACTCAGCTGGGCAAGGAAACACTTGATGTCACAGCCATAGATTTACCCTTCTGTAATAATCATTTTACGTGCTTGCCGACACTGGAAGGATTTGGATCATTTTAAAATTACACAGTGTCAGGTGAAACTTCACTTCACAGGGTAATCAGATCGCAATATATGACCTGCCTATCATTATAAATGGCGTTAAGAAAAGAAGCATTTTACTGCCACTAAATTTTTTGAAAATGTTTATTATCGTTTCACAAGTTACTTTCATCTTTCGTAGAGTTGAATCAAGTAACTTAGACAGCTTGACTACAAATAATAGTAACACCACTACAACAATACATTCCTTTTTATATTGGATATTTTAGATAATCACATAAGTGCCGTCTAGTAAATCAGTCTGTGCGTTGAAGCTTCTGTAGCGACTAGGTGGATTTCCTGGTGAAAAGCCTCCAGTCCCACACCCAACCTTCTCTCTTTGCGTCGGGCTTAGAATCCGCTAGTAAATTATACACAGAAAAGAAATAAAAAAGGAACCTGTAATTCGCTGGAATCAGACATTTGGAATGATGCAAATTGAAAAAAGCCTTCGGGAAGTCAGTCAAACTCTGTGTCATCTCTCTATAAAAGCAAAAATAAACATGGGGAAATTAAATGTCTGCCCGATTTTCGAAGGCCGCTGGAAAAGGTGTTCACACTGTCAAAGAGATAAGAGGTTACGGTATAGAAGTGCTTGGAATCTATGAAAGCAGATGAAGTGGAACTGGACTCACCTAATTGTTAACTGTAGAGTCGTTAATCCACCATGTTCACGCAGCAGAGAGGATAGCTGCATTGTGAGAGAGTGGCTATCACGGTATCACGAATATCAACCAAAACTGTTATGCAGTGGAAATCAATCTTCTCCAGGATCATGACAGTAAGACTCAACTCAAAAAGAAGGAAATTTGCAATCATCGATTGTTACTCACCTAAAAACAACTCAGAAGAAGGTAAGATGGAAGATTTCTATAGACAACTGCAAACAGTAATGGATGAGACTACAGATAGAGACATCAAAATCCTCTAATGGGTGATATGAATGCTAAACTCGGAACGGAGAATACAGCAAAAGAATTCATAATGGGTCAATATTCTGTCGCAGAAATGAATGACAATGTAGAACTCTTCACAAACTTCTGTACTTTCAATGATTCAGTTATTGGAGGCAGTGTGTACAAGCGCAAGGATATACACAAGGCAACATAGACTTCACCTGATGGACACACCAAAATATACTACAGCTGCGTCATTTTTGAGAGACTGATAGATGCTCTAGATGCAAAACTCTGCCTGGAGCAATCTGGATTCAGGAAAGCAAATCATGTTTAGAGACGAGAGCTTATGAGCAGTCGTAGGGCCAGCCAGCTAAAGATCACTTCAGAAAACAGGATGAAATGGAAGCGTACTGCTGAGAATCCTATGTACCACTCGGAAACCTAAGGGAATAATTAAATCACAAATATTTGTAGGGCAATCATTTATCTATACATCTTACGTGAGTTGAAAACTGCACCATTGTTTTGCATTCTAAAAATCAGCCTAGAAAATATGACAATTCTTGACAAGGGCTACTTTTAGTACATATTTAAGTTTACAAATTTAAAATTAAAATTGAATTACACACACACATCACATGGTATTTCTTCCGACACTAAATTGTTATTCTTTTATAATTTATCTTTGAAGTAATCATCAAACAGAGTAACAACACCTCAGAGTAATCAATCTATTTTTAATCAGAAATGAGCTTCAAATTTTCATTTCTGATTCCATTATCACTAAATCTTAAATGAAGAACATTTTTGTTTCACTGAGATCTAATGTAGCTAATAAACTGTAGGTTAATAAGGAATCGAAATTACTGATTTAAAGTATACTAATTTGTATTATTGTATTTGTGTAATCAAAGACTTACAACTATTGTTTACAACTAATATGTACTGTAAAGATTTTAAATGACTATATAACCTTGAATAATATTCAGTTGCTTTAAACAAATGACTTCATTTAATATGTCCAGCTAATGATTAAACCTTTTTATACATTTTCTTTGATTTTATCTTAGAATAAAGATAAACACAGTTCTATCTTATCAATGGTTTTTTTATTTACCATTGCGTTTACTCACGTGTGTACCTATAAATAAAATTTATCTCTATCACCTTGTCATAATAGTGTGACCTAATTGATAATGCTAATTGCTCTGATTACTTAATTACTCTTATGATTTTTTATTTTTTTTGATCGACCTACAAGTGATCTTCTTAAACCTCATTATTTTAACTGTTAACTTAATCTGTAAACAAATTTAAAACTATGACTCTTTGCAGCCTATATTGTATATTATTATTATGTTCATTGAATGAAAGATTTTTTGTTTTAGTCTTGTAACAGTTAAGATTCTATTCAACTATTGATTATTGAATTCGAATGAGTCATTTTCAAGTGTTGGTTTCCAGAAACTTGATTAATTTTAATTTTGATGATGAATTGACTTCACATAGAGTGCCATTGTAAACGTGGGAGTACTAGAGAGCTGTTTTCTACTTGTTTGAGAGTCTCCAGCCTGACGCACCCATGACCCTTATAGGGATTGAACTAAGGACCTTCAGGTTACATGGCCAACTCATATATCATTTAGCCAGGGTTCAGTGGCCTATGAATTCTAACTTCTGCCGATTCATCACTACCTGGAAGTGTCATTGGTGCTGATCTGTCCTCACGTCAAACTTAGTGAACCCCACCGACCACAATTTCTCACTTCCTATTGGGATCAATAGTACTACGTCCCGTGGAAGAGTCCTAAACAAAATTGAAACAACTGTCCAATACTCTCTAGTTTAAAACCGTTCCCCACCTGCAGTCACTTTCTTTATCAGAACTAAAATAAGTCATGTTTTTTGTAATATTGCCCTAAATGAAACAAATTTAACTAATTTACACTATAAAAAGTTGTTTTCCCCTTCCTACATTGTTGAACACATAGGTTGTTATAAAGTTATGTATGAAATGTCAAGACATTCGGCGTATTACATTCTGTAACATTTAGGATGAGATGAACACAGTTTTAATTATAAACTAAAAGTAACTAAGGAAAACAATTGGGGACTTAAGTGTATTAGAAATCGGTTTTGCACTAGTTTTTATGACACAGAAACGCTGTTTCCACTCATCTCTTCAGTAGATCTAGCCTAAGGTC